CGCACTTCGTTCGGGCATACAGCTTCACACCCTGTCATCAAAACAAAAAGTTTTTACATCTGCGTGCCGGCGACACCTATGTCAACTCACCATCAACCCGTAGAACCGAACACAATTCAAGTCCAATATGCGTCCAACGAAATCGATCCTGAAACCGAAGGCTTCCGAATCGCTCACGTCATCATCGCAAACATTAGAGCAAACGAAGGCGCCATCTTGAACACCGCATTTTGCCGAAACCAAATGGAATCTCATCAGGAAGGCCAACACAACCAACTTCAACTGAAAATTTGTGGAAATTTGGTGTATTCGCGATTTCCAAACATGCTCTAAGGGACTTACCATGTTAAAGCAAAGCGCGAGATTTTTCTACGGCTCTTCAACGATTTTTTTGCGGAAACACCTTCTTTTGAACCTAAAAAGAAAGAAACCATCATTAAAAGATGGTAGAAATTCTCTGAAACACCTAATTTTCGCAATTTTCAGTAAAGATCGCGAAATCTCCGAATCCGCCGATTGATCCGTTTTTCACTTAAAAATAGCTTTCAATCAGCATCAAACTGGTTATATCAACTCAAAACATCAGAGAAAACAAGAATGTTTGTGAAAAGAATGTTAACTTGAGAAAACTCATTCGATCCGACCAGCGAATCGCTTAAATTACGAAACCAATATTTCGCTAACAACGATCGGAAAACATTCCCTTCTAACAAACAAGTTGGTCAATTACAAAGTCCGAAGGTTCTCATTGTGAACTACGTGTTTATTTTTCGCCGACTATCGCGGATTTAATTTACCGTAGCACGAAAACTAAGGAATCGAAATTCTCGCGATAGTACCGACGCCGCCAACACACAAAAAGAACAACACGCCGAGAACAAAATTTCGCCGAAAAAACGTCAAAACCAATGAGTTATTTTCAAATCGTACTCCAATCGTCGCGGATTTACTTTAGAGCGACGACTCGAATCGGACCGAATCTAAGTTCCGCGATCGCCGCCTTTACCGCTACTTACGAATTCAGATCTAGACGCGCTTCCGATCTACGCCGCTCTTGCTTGAAACAAATTAATTAACAAGACGATGCACAATTTTAAGTCTGTTTGAGCAAACACTGAGAAGAAAAGAGATCACAGGGATTCACATCCTCACCTGCAACTCACCAATCGATATCTGAGGAAGTTGACATCTTGAATTTCAACCCCAGACTGACAGCTAAGCTGCAGTGTTGNTCTCAGCAAGCTCAAATTTGTAACACTGTGTTCACCAGTCACCACACAACAGCTAGGCTCAAACTGATGATAGAATTGGGGAAAAGGGGGTTTATATCAATTATTGCTACATGCCTTGATCCAGCACTCTGGCTGAAGGTCAGTCAATTTTTTGAGGCCTGGGATTGGCTAGGAAAATCCAAGTCAAAGACAACTCTAGGGGCAGGAACTCAGAGAACAAAAGTTCTGAAAGTTTTGGTGGTTTTTCTGGGGCTCTCCCATGCACGGATTTTTTTGTCCTTGGGTGATGTTTGGATCAGGCAAATCATTTACACTCGCAATTACCCCCATAAACCGGTTTCCCAGGGCGTCCCCCCATCCCTGGGTTTCATTTTAAACTTGCATGGGACATGAGAATTTTCTCTCTTGCATATGCCAAATGTACCCTCATATAAACTTCATTATGTTTATTCCTCCTCTTTATTTAATGAGAATCTAAAATAGTTTGAACTAAATTAATCTAACCCAACCTAACCTAACTAACCTAACCTAACTATCCTAACCTAACCTAAAAGCTAATCTAACTTAAAACCTAACCTACACAAAAATAACCTCAAGGAAACTAAAATACTACAGTATTAACATCACAAAATCATTATACTTCTGTTGGGCATTTTTTTATCCCCCACCCCAGTTCCAGAAAACAGTCCCCCAAACACAAAGAATGAAACAGGGAAAAACAGGAGGAGGGTAAGTTGGAACTGCGCGGGAAAGGCAACACAGCACATCAAAGGGAGTGTAAATAACTGGCATTACCCATGTGATCCACCCCATTTACCCCAACCTCAATTAATGAGGCCCTCATCACACTGGCGGCAGTGGGTCCCCAACAACATCAGCTTAAATTTTTCACTTCTGAGAATCGTTATAATACTCAGTCTCTAAGGACGAAATAAATGAATAACGAGAGAAACGAATTTTCCTGACTTTCAAAACCTTTGAATTGAAATTTTCACAAGCAATAAAGAGCATTGTGAAACAAAATATGACGGAGGGCCAGATACTAAAAACGTGACAAAAACCCATGAAAAGACTAATATACTTGAGCGAGGTTTTTTTCAAAATTGCTCTTCACATCATGGGTTAACTGTGCGAATGTGACAAATTTTTCATCATCGCTAAAAAGGAAAAAAAGAATAGTAATGAATGAGCAACTTCCGCATAAGGGGGAAGATTTTTAAAATGTTCTTATCACAACTGATTACCTGTGTGAATAGATGTTTTCTTCATCTTCCTCCCCAGTTTTCAACTGAACGACCGGTGGCAACGGGACAATCGGCTCATAATGTGGATCATAGTTGTCGCCCTCCGATCCTTCGTCTCCAGTAGGTTGCCCATTGCTGAAACCTCGCATAACTTCACCCGCTCCAGGGAAAAAGCCTTTCCCGCTAAAACTGGTGAACGACGAAAACTCTCCTCCACCTTCCGCCGGTTCTTTACTTCCACCGAATGCAGTGCCAAAACCCCCTGACTGTTTCGCAAGATCACTGAAAGTCATGCCACCAACACCTCCGAAACTACCGAAGCCCCCGAATGCCGAGGACACGGTGGCAACGCTTGGAGTGGTAATTGTATCTGATCCGAATGCCCCAAGTTTACCAAATACCGGTTCGCTGTGAAAAGGAGGTTTTACTGCGGCAGAAAAACCTCCGAACACGGGGGCACTGGCTGATTGCAATTCTGTCGACACAGCACCAAACAAGGGAGCAGCATCTTGTTTCTTTGTCTGGTCACCAAAACCGGCATCGGTTTTCAGGACTGGCCCTTTCCTTTCGGATGAAGTTCCTGATGAAATCCAAGCAATAGGATGCAAAAATGAAACGACATGAACATTCATAAATTTAGCACTCTTACCAGTTCTCCAATCCCAGTCATCATCACAACCTCTGCAGCCGGGACACGGGGTCTTGTTCTCGTAATCAAAGAAGTTCGTAGGCAGCTTGAGTCTTATCGCTCGTTGAATCAAATTGTCCGGCAATTTCTTTTCGAAGACAACCGTCACTTCGTCATCTGGAATACAGAAACGGATGAGATAAGTGATTCGTTTTCCGTCAAGTCGAAAGAAAACACTCAGGAATAATGAAGAGTACGGTATTTATTCATTCGAGAAACTTCCGAAGTACGCGATAACTGTGGATCAACTTCTCACCAGTGCCAGACTTCTGGGTCTTCTCTTCTCCAGCCGGTAACGTTTCTTTCTTTTCACAAGCCGTTTTCATGATTTCCTGGGCTTTCTTGACGGAATCCAAAAACTCTTCGGCAATCTCCTTGTTTTTGAACCTCAATGCGAACTTGTGCACCTCTGGCTCATCTTCCGAGAAATCCTTCGCAAGCCATGTCCAACTTCTCACGTCATTGCTCGCGAATGCCGAGAACGTGATGTCCGGCGTCAAATAATGGTTGAGGCAGAGCTTCAGCACTTGTTCCCTCCTCATCAAGATGCGACAATGGGACGTCGAACGGTTTTTCAACACTTTAACATCTCCAAGACCTCGTTCCTTCCATTCTTTGTCCGCAGCCGAAAATCTGTACAACTTGGCACGATGAACGTACAGAACTTCTTCGTCCTCTTCTCCCGAAGTTACTTCGACCAGCGGAGGAAGCGGTATGACAGGCTAAAAATATTTTCGAATAGTTTGAAATCACGTGTTTTCCAAATACAGTACGCGGACTCGAGATTTGTTCAAATTTGTGTCAGTCTAGGCTCTTGACTCTCTATATTACTAGACCTTCATGTTTTGTAAATTTTTCTGGATTGAAGGAGGACATACATTTTATAAAAACGAAATTGAACCAGGTTGCACTTGTCGCTGACCTAAATTGAAGTGGAGAAAATAGGGGTCACTAGATACAGTACATTTCCATGTTTTCATGATTTTGTGTGCAGTCAAAGTGCAAAAAAAAAATTCCAAAGACCGTCATTTATAAATACAGTATTCAACTGACGAATTCCTAGAATTTTTGAACGATGTTGCATTACAATTACTGTTCGATCACGTCATTTTTCGTCAAGTAATGCTGGAGGTGAAATTCGAGATAAAATACCAATTTGTAGACAAGAATCCATTCGGACGTGCACAAGGGCTTGATTGAAGTGTTTCAATCGATCGAATTGGTTTGGACTCAGAAACTTTGATACCCGTCGAACTTCTGAATAACTCCCAGTGAGAAAAACTGTGCAAAATGTAAGAACTCACCTTGAAATAAATTCCTTCGCCTTCATCTTCTGAAACATAAGCGTCCCCATCTTCACCTCCAGAAGACTTCCTTGGGGAAGCAATATTTTTCTCGCCTGACGAAGTTCGTCTA